ACTGTCACATTCTTAGGTACTGGTGGGTCAGGACTTCAACATACGAATTTTGGGGGTATACATCTCAGCCCATAATAATTCTATAATATAAATTACTTAAGTAATAATAATCTAAAAGTGAAAATATTATGCTTACCTATAGTTAAGCTAAAACATTATAGTTGTCTGGAAGAAAACATTTATCTTAGATGTTATTTTCCTTCCCACTTACGTTTACAGTAGAAGTCCATAGTCGACCACCTCTCTGAACTGACCACCTCCTTAAGTTGACCTCATTTTTGTAGACTAGGTAAGCCCTACATGGGTGTATCTGTACAGCAGGCCGACTTCCTGTCGGTACCGTTGACCACTTCTGTATGTGAAGCGGTTTGTTACAGTCCCGTGGGTAACCAACTTACAGAGGTTCTACTGTATTTTCTATATATCCTGTAAATTTGGGTGTTGTATATATCTTTATTTACTTTTGAATTTTACTTTTTACTTACACAAATAATTTGAGAATACAGTTGGAGTATTTTAAAGCAAATCCATGACATAATTAGCATTTCACCTAGATATATGTTAGTGTGAGATTCTCTTACACGTAGAAACTTTAAAAAATTTAATGTAGGCCGGGAGAGGTGGCTCATGCCTGTACTCCTGGCATTTTGGGAGGCTGGGGTCAGTGGATTACATGACTTTGGGAGTTGGAGATCAGTTGAACAAGGAGAGGCTGTCTCTACTAAAAATAGAAAAACTAGCTAGGCATGGTGGTGGGCACCTGTAGTCCTAGCTACTGGGTGTCTGAGGCAAGACGATCAGTTAAGCCCCAGAGTTTGAGGTTGCTGTGAGCTGTGATGCCACCCCACTCTAATGAGGGCAACAAGTGAGACTCTGTCTCAAAAAAAAAAAGAAATTTAATGGAACTATATTACTATTATCACACCTAAAAGAATTAATCTTTAATATCCTCTGTATCCCAGGCCAGGTTTAATTTTTCTCAATTGTCTCAAAAAAGTCTTTTTATAACGGATTGGTTTGAATCTGGAACAAACAAATCCCACACATTGCATTTAGTTGGTCTGTCTCAAGCTTTATGTTTTGAGTTTCTAATTGTAGAAGTTTCTTCTGCTTCACCATATCATGAATTTGTTAAAGAAACTAGATCATGAGTTCTTTTGCGTTCCCTAGACTATGGATGTGGTTGATTTTATCCTCATGGTTTGTCGAGACAAACTGGGGATCGGCAAAAGGAGCAGTCTGATCCTGGTAATAACTGTCTTCCCTTTTAGGTAGTGGTTGAGCTGGGGAAATTCGAAAGGAAGAAGTTTAAAAATTCCCGTTTACAAGATGGACATTCAGAAATGGAGGAAGTACCGCAACGTCTCCATTCGTTCCTTACGAAAGAAGCGCTGGTCTGGAACAGGCTAAAACCCTTGGAAAGCGCTGGCTATCCCGTCATGCTGTGGTGGTCCCCGCTGACCGGGGAGACTGGAAGGTTGGGCCAGTGTGGAGCCGACGCTTGTTTCTTCACCATCAACCGGACCTACCTGCACCACGACAGGACCAAAGCCTTCCTCTTCTATGGTGAGTAGGCCCGTTGCCTTTCCGCCTGGGTTTGCTGTTGTCTCACTGCAAAGGTGAGTTACTGCCTACCTCCGAAGAAAAGTGGTGATGTCCCCCCTGAAAAAACACTTTGATGTACACCTGACTTCCTTTGCACTTAACTCTGTGGAAGGCTGGAGCATTTAGCAAGTACAATAAGTGAACAAATCTGACCAACAGAGAGGTGGTTGGACAGGCCCCTTGGTGTTTATGGAGAGGAGAAATTTCATCTCACCTTTCGACAGGCAGCTGTTGTGCCTGTCGAAACCGACATTGAGAGAACTGGGTATCACTTATCCTGCTGACATCAATTCCGAATGGCAACTGGTGATTATGTCGCCAGGAGATTTTGATTTCAGTAACACATGTTTAATTGGACATAAGCCAAACATGATGTTCTCTATTTCTTTAATGTCAGATTAATCAGAAATAAAAATAAAAGGATTGTTCGGCATCTGCTTTCCAAAGTAAGCTGTATTCATCACTTCTCGAGGCTGATGATATGTCATGCTGGGATGGGAGGGCAGCCAGACCCAGGGAGGTGGGCTTGGCAGGGTGCCAGCTGCAGGTACAAGTACGGAGCTCCTGGCTGGTGAGCGGGAGCGGGAGGGGGAGCAGATGAGCAAATGGGCTGCATAGAGGCAAGGTTAGTGCCTTAAGTTGGCAAGTCAGTGAAGGAAAACCAGCTGCAGGGTGGGGGAGAGTGTGTATATGCCTCTGTGTGTCTGATGCCGGCTTTGGAGAGCAGGACTGAGGTTGGGATAGAGACCTGAGGTCCTTCTCAGCGTTTTGCTAATAATGGCTTTAGTAAAGCAGAAAATGGGATCGGGGGAATCAGGTGGTATATATTCCCCACTAGTTGGTTAGGGGTGCTGGGAAACGGCTACTAGTGCCTGGTGTCAGTACACATTCAGGGGAATCTTTGGTACTTAAAAATACAGGTAAATTCCAGGTCTTTAAAAGTTCAGGTCCTTGGGTTCGGCGCCTGTGGCTTAAGCCACTAAGGTGCCAGCCACATACACCTGAGCTGGAGGGTTCGAATCCAGCCCAGGCCCGCCAAACAACAATGAGGGCTGCAACCAAAAAATAGCCGGCCGTTGTGGCAGGCACGTGTAGTCCCAGCTAGTTGGGAGGCGGAGGCAGGAGAATTGCTTGAGCCCAGGAGTTGGAGGTTGCTGTGAGCTGTGATGCCACCATGGTATTCTACCCAGGGCGACAGCTTGAGGCTCTGTCTCAAAAAAAAAATCCATGTCCTACAAAAAATAATAAAAAACATTAGCCAGGCTTGGCACCCATAGCTCAGCAGTTAGGGAGCCAGCCACAATACACCAAGGCTCTTGGGTTTAAACTCGGCCCGGGCCTGCCAAACAACAATGGCAACCACAACAAAAAAATAGCCGGGCATTGTGGTGGGCACCTGTAGTCCCAGCTACTCAGGAGGCTGAGGCAAGAGGATCACTTGAGCCCAAGTGTTTGAGGTTGCTGTGAGCTATGATGTCACGGCACTCTATGCTAGCTGACAGAGTAAGACTGTCTCAAAAAAAAAAAAGGTAAAATATTAGAAGGATAATTGAAACCCCATATAAACTCTTCCCTGACCCATCTCACTTCCATCCCTCCTACCCTAGAGGGAATAATGATCCTGAATTTGGGGGGGTGTGTGTGTGTAACAACATTCAGGGTTGGATAATTAAGTTTACGAACTCATCCTAGAAAAAAAATGCCACATATCTCATTGCTGATTATCACCATGGTCACTAGATGGCCAAGGGGAGGACTTTGAAAGTGATTGTGTATAGCTCAACCGGCTAAGGCGCCAGCCACGTACACCTAAGGTGGCGGGTTCGAATCCCCAGCCCGGACCCGCCAAACAACAATGACGGCTGCAACCAAAAAATAGCCAGGCGTTGTGGCGGGCGCCTGTGGTCCCAGCTACTTGGGAGGCGGAGGCAGGAGACTCGCTTGAGCCCAGGAGTTGGAGGTTGCTGTGAGCTGTAATGCCATGGCACTCTACCCAGGGGGACAGCTTGAGGCTCTGTCTCAAAAAAAAAAAAAAAAAGAAAGTGATTGTGGTGACATTCAGCAAGGAGGTATGCAGCACTTTTTCTAGGATGGGTTTGGGAACCTAACTGTACAACCTTTAAAGTATGTGACAAGAAATTTATTTAAGCACATGTAATGCTACTCCAGGGAAAACAAGTTGTGAATATATATACACACACAGAGACACACATGTACACATAGGTATGCACACACACACACACACACACAACCCCTCCTTATATATAATTTACCTTTACAGGCTTAGCACCCCACATCAGAAAATTCAAAACCTCAAATGCTACAGATCTAAACTTACTGAATACTCACGTGATGCTCAAAGAAAATGCTCGCGGGCACCTTTTGGATTTGGGATGCTCCATCCGTGTGATGTAAATATTCCAAAATTCAAAAACATCCAAACTTCTGGTCTTGTGCATTTCAGATAAGGGACACGTGGTCCGTCTATACCTACGTGTCCCCCCCCCCCCACGTCCTTGTGGCTGGAATGCTTTTTTGCATCCCTCTCCGTTCTGTGGAGGGGTAACAGAACCTTCTCTGTTTCACCAGTTTGGAAGTTTCCTCGTGCCTGCTTCCATGGGGGTCTATATACTTTGAATGCTAAATCTGGGTTCCCAGAAGCCTATAAATCAGGTCTTAGCTGGGTGACTTTCCCAGGACTCACAGAGGGAAGGCTCACACACTTAGTTTTGTCAGCAAGCTCAGAGCTGATTTTTCTCTCAGGGATGACTCATTTCCAATTGAATTCTCAGGAAATTTCGTGTGTCAGGCAGAATGCTTCTGGTTGGATTTTCATACTCAGATCCTGGTGTTCTCTGGCGCCTGAACCCCTCGGGGACGTTGATTGAAAAAGTCCATGTGCATTAAATTGGTGTTCATCGGCTCTGTGTATTCTGACTCCAGCCTGTCTTCCAAATCCAACCTCTCTGACTCTGCCAACTAACCTTATGTTTAAAAGTCAAAGCGGAATCATCACCATTTTAGGCATTAGCCACACATATTTCTATCTTAGCACCATTGCTCATTCAGTTTCTGGGTCTAGACTGCCCTTTATGTTTTTGTTCTTGTCAGAACAATCTACTGAATACCATTTGTCGGCCATGTACGTGAATAATGTGGCTTCTGATGTCAAAAACTAACACCTTAAGGAAAAGGTAGCACTCAGCCATAACACAGGATCAAATACATTTGCACCACAAAAGAAATGCGGGTGAATCTTACAGGTTTCAAAGACAGGAGGGAGCACCTAAGATTGGAGGGAACAGGAGCCTTCAGAAGCCCCCCTTCCTCAGCTCAGGTTAGGGAATCTGAAGGAGGCCTCAGAGGAGGTTGGGATCGGAGGACGTTTTAATATGAAGCACAGCACCAATGAGGGCATGGAGGAAAAAAATTAGGAGAATATCTGAGGTACAGCAAGGAGTTTGGTTGGCTGTAGCATGGTTCTGTGTAGGGATTGAAGGACATATGGGGACCAGAGCATGGCAGAGCCTCAGTTGTTAGCTTTAGGTTGTCCATCACATTACAGCAATGGCCCCCCAGTGGCTATAGTTTCATGGCAGACAACTTCTCTACTGACTGGGGGTTCGGGGGCAGATCTGGCAGGGGGCAGAGCTCAGGCAGTGATGCGAGTGAATACCAAGGGAGCTTTGCTCACTTGCCCACAGCTCTCCTACTGTGCTCACCTCCTGCCGTGTGGCCTGGGAGGAGGATGTAGGTTGGGGACCACAGAATTAGAGGATGGTGCTTGGGAGCCACTGAAATTTGAACAGTCTTTTTTTTTTTT